TTGATTCCGACCTATGAGCAACACCGATCCCAAATGGTTTCAGGATTCTTGCAGCCGCCACCACTCTCTGACGATGGAAGCGAGCACGCTTTTGAAACGTCAGCCAAAATACACCTTGGTCCCAGAAATCTTCTCTTCTTCCTCTTCCGGCATGATGAAAGGAATATAAAATTCGTTCTCTGAGCAGCAGTAGACAGGACGACTGGGAAAAGAACTTTAATCGTCTGACGTTTCAGAGTCTTTCTCAGACCCTTTGATCAGAGATAGTACACCGGGCATTGCAGTATTTATAGGATGCAGTCGCGATGCTACTGGAAACGTATGGCAATTAACGGTTCCCCTCTTATAGCCGATAGTTGTCCGCTTGTGTGATAATTTCCGATGGCCGATCTGCTGAAATTTAATTAATCACGCTGGATTTTGGCATGGTGATTTAAAGGCCATCTGGCTCAACGGCACTGGTGTGGGAAGATATGTTTGCTTTGGCGCTCCACGAGTGGCGAATGGCTTTGGTCAAACCGAATCTCAGCACCGAATATGGGTTGGGGATGTTAGGAGTCTAGCCTGACCGAATGTCAGCAACCGTACAGGCTCTCCTGAGGCGTTGTGCCCGCCGCCGACTGCCACAATGATTCCTTTGTCAACAGCGGACTGCCTCCATGGTCATATGACTTTGCTGGGCTGTGCCCAGACGATGAGATTAAACCAGACACACACGCACGCGCCAACTGGTCACAGTTCTTGATGGGCCACTTAGGTTCGTCACAGCAGGTGACGTGCCCAATCAGGCCACAAGCGAACGCGTTTGACAATCACCTATAATAACTGTCATCTCTAAGACAGTGAGTTGCACACGGACAAAAAGGACAAGGACACCGTTAGTCCGCTCCCGATTGTCGGGGTTAGCCCCGAGACGGGACAGCAGCGCGCTGGAGATCAACCAATGGCAACTGCTACCCGAGAAAGCAAGTCCGGGTGTTGTACGCAATAAACCCTCCTCCAAGTGGATTCCAGGGGTTACGCCCTTCTTATTGCGTTCTTCCTTGGGGATTCCAAGTGGCGTAATTCGACGTTGACAGCACACAACCGTCACCGTTACAACAGAGGAGGTCAGTGCACTTTGCTTGTACCAGCTCTTTATATGTAGACAGCGGGCTTTTTCAATTAGGAAGAAAATTTTGAAAGTGTTACCCGAATTTACAGAGTCTGAAGTTGTAGTTTAAACACAGCGAACTAGCTCCCAGGTTTCACAGGAACGCATGGTAGTTAATAACAGTAAAAAAATCCTACAGAAAATTGGTTGAAGTCTTAAAAAACGCCAAACAACAACAGCAGTAGTTCAAAATGGGTGGACATTATTTCACCTGCTTACCATGGTTTCGAGAGGAAACATGCCGAGATGTAATCATTCGCAGGCGTCGAACAAGTTCCATCTTCTGTCTCTCGAGAATTAGTCGTTTGGCACGTAGTTTGGATAGCAGACTGCGAGGACTCTCTTCTGTAAAAAATAAGATTCCTATTACCAGGGAGCACGCGACTAGCTAACTGCGCAAAAATCATAGCAATTTGAGGTTTAGGCAATCAGAAAATGCGTGGAAACACCTCATTTGATCAAAACATGGGCTGGTACGTAGTTTTATAAATTGACAATTAAGTTTTCCAATACATATTGTGAAATAGCAAAAAAAGGGTTAGTCTTGGAAGGAAGCGGTACCGCCAACTTCGAATTCGCCTTAAATGATCTACCATCTGATTTATGGGGATTAGTCATTGGTTATGTGAATGCTTATTATGTCCTTATTCACACAGCCGGCGAACAGCCCATGTAGTTCCGGTTGCGCGAAACAATCTTTACAGAACAGCTTCCCTGTGCGGACATATTCTGATGACCGTAAGCTTAGCATTTGCATAAAATATAGAGTATGCGCTAAAAATCGTGAAACTTTCATGACGAAGTATGATCCACATGACCATCTCCATAAGAATTAATATCCTAAAACTCATTTCTGTCCGTAAATGCTCTTTATTTATATCTTATTTTAGAGGTTTTGATATAAACGTCGAACCGAAGATCAATTGATGGATTAACAAATGAAGACGATGAAAACGCAGGAAATGATTCCACAATTTCAAGAACGATATCAAATAAATAGTTATCCATTAATGGTAATCTGTATGAAACACTTTTACTAAAGAAAAATTCTTTTTGTATAAAGTATGTGGTTACGTAAAGTTTTCAGATAGATAAAATCTGTAAATTTATTGTTCTAATTTATAGCTATTTTTTACGTCTCCGGAACTTGGGGATTATCGGCAAAATTTTATTTTTCTTAACAAACGCTTAGTACTTCTTATACTGCTTTTAATTTTTAAGTATGCCTAATGCTGTTCATTATTATTTCTAAGTTTTTCTAAATGCATTCACATCGGTATGCGAGTAATGATCAAACTTTTACAAGGTTATGAAAGTTGCACGATTCTTAGCGCATACTCTACTTGAGTTGCACGGCTTAGCTATTTTTTGTATTTATTCTGATGTTTCGTGTTTTGGCAGGTGTTACACTCATTTCGACTTCCATTTGGAAATGGAAAACTTTGTAGAGATGACTCGCTTTCACTAAGAGGCAAATTAATAAGGTGGTTTAAATTCTGCCAGGTCAGTTGGCAACTAAGCTACAAAAAGTTACTTTTATCTGCATAATTAAGTGCTGTTCTCTGGGAAAAAGTTTCCATTCAAAATGTAGGACATTGCTTAGTAAAGATGGCTAAGTAACGGAAGAGTAAATCCTCATATAAGCCGCTAAATCCTCGCTTTGCTCTTGCGAGCGTTCTCATTGGTTCATAGAGAATCGTCGGTAGAGCAAAGGAAACCTTTGATTGGTGGGATACTTATTTTCTATGTAACAGGTGCATAAAGTTAAAATCTGGCTTATGAAGCTGCGGAAGGTCGTGAAAATCACGGCTTGATTAGAATAAGATAGCGCAAGCGTAAAACAGCTGATTCTCGCAGGGTTGCTGGTACGAGTGTTAAGCTTCAGTTATGATTGAAAAGCAGATAATTTGCTCATCAAACATCTAGCCAAAACGTAGTTCTGTGCCAGAGCACCGCGTCATCCCACCGAATTACTATCGTCACAAGCGCGCTGTCAGGTTTTTCGAAAAAACAGAAGACGTGAGATAATATCCAGAAACTCTGCTAGAAATTGGAAAAGGAAATACAGTGAATCTATGCAGTAGTTTGTTTCTTTCGGTCTGCTAATAGTGTTGTCACACACAGTTCCTAAAAAAATTGACAAAAATTTGAAATAAGTGGTTTTAAATGGGTGATAACTTTGGTGAATGGTGTTCTACCTCGCGCGGTCACTCACTACCTAAACACTATCCTGCGAATTCATTATTGGCTAATCTGCGAATGAACCCACGAGGGAAATGATGCGCTATGATGATCAAGGTGTCTCGTGGCCACACAAGGTTTCCTCGCAGAGATTTTAACTTTTAAACGAAGTAACAGTATCCCTTATTTGGACGCGCTAGAAATGCAAGTCGACTGTAGTCGTCTTGCAAAATACGATGGGCAACGTTCAGATTCGGGCTTCTGTTGACTAACCCATGCACGGGTAAGAATAGCTTGTGGAAAACACCCTTGTTTACTATACATAACAAGTTACTTGTTTCGCTTTAGTAGGCATAGATTAGTTTCGGTTGGGACAAATCCGCCTATTTAAACTCAAATGACTTCCTCTGATTTAAGCAAAGTGAATCGCAGGCTACAGTAGTGATTTTCTGAGTGTGATCTTTTCGACAATGCGACGATCATTCGTACAGTGGGTGAATCTCGTAGCCCTTGAAAAGTCGATTAGCCTGGTAGAGAAAAACTGCTGGTGTCGACACCCCTTCTAGCGAAGAAGGCGGTTTTCGCTAATGTGACCGATATATTAGGCCGTGAACGTTGTACTTCTCGAAATACTTCGGAATATAAGGGACAGATTTTGGCCTGAAATTGCTCCGGATGCAGTACAGGTTACCAACTATTCTGATAAGATTTTAAAAAAACTGTGTTTCCTTTGATTTCAGTAGCATTTTTGTCTTCTCACGTCGCAGATTTCCACTTTCAGTGCTTTCGATATCCTTCAAGAACTCTATGCTACGCTAGCTCCACTTTGAGACAGAGATTAGCTCTAGCCTTCCTCATTACGCCACTCC